GTACAGCCCCCAGCTCAGATTTGAAAAAAAATCAGTGGATGGTTGTTTTCTGACTGGTCGGCCATACTGGTCGGCTGCAATACGGTCGGCGGTCGGCAGGTATGCGACCCTGACCTAATCCAAATTTTGAGAAAAAGGAGTCCTACTGTTAAAAGAAAAAAGAAAGTAAATACCCTAGGAGTGTGCAGTGAAAGGATTTCACCATAGTTGCGGCGCACCTCGGTGCGCGGAATTGCGCACGAATTGCGCACCGCACAGCGCACCGAAGCGCAGCGCACTGGAAAAATTAGGTCCACAAAAAAAAAAGAGAGAGTAGGTGTTTTGTAATTTCTTAGGGCCCCCAACTCAGCAAAAATCTTCAACTCACCGTGCGAGCTCAGAAACCGGCCACGCCCCAAGCTCGAAATTTTCTTTTGGGTAAGGGCTGCCAAATTTTCGAATTCCACAGGCGCTTCCCCCAAAAGTTTCAGAATGGCGAAGCATAAAATACTTAAAACAATAGGGCTCATTCCAACTTATTTTTAAGGTGGGGTATGAAAGATGTTCTTCCCGCTCCCTTCTGCAAATCCCACGGTGGTGGGTTAAGTTCACAAAAATGGGCAGTCGCCTGATAACGACCTGCCCCGTGAATCTTCGCAGAGATCACAAGTTGCGTTTTTTATGGCCAGCCGACCACCAATATATGCGGAAGATTGGCGTTCAGGTCTGCATGTCGGCAGTTATGGATCTGAGAGGGATTGCAGTGGAAGGCAAGCTGACAGTCAATCCTCCTAATGGGAGCAATCAATGCTGGTCAGGGTTCCTTCGGCCAAACGGAAGGAAGCGTGAGTCGGTTGATGATGTATTCATTTTTGACTTGCCAGGGGAATAGTAACCGGACTAATGCTCCCCAGAATGGATATGGAGCCAGGACCATAAGGACCTGTTTAAAAAACAAAACACAAAAAAAAAAGAAAAAAAAAAAAGGAATACGTCCAGTGGGGCCTGCTCCACACCAAATGGACAAAAGACATAGCATATGGCGGTGTATGGTTCCATGTTTTAGCAGAAGATTCATTCTACTAATATTATATACATTTGGTGAGTGGTGGAGCGAGGCCCTGAGAATCACGTGGAGACACGAACAGGGTCTAGCTGAACTGGTGACCCATAACTGCCGGGCTACAGCCCTGGACTCGAATCCACAGCATATATTGGTGGTCTGGCCCCATGTCTTTCGTGCATGACGAGGCCATCCTTCTCAGTGAATCAGCGGCCCTCAATAGCTCCCCATGTGTTGTAGGAGCCATTCGCGGTACCTGCAGGGGCCCTCAAATTGACATAAAGGGGATCCTTTTTTGACTTTCTCTCTCTCTCTCTCTCTCTCTCTCTCTCTCTCTCTCTCTCTCTCTCTCTCTCTCTCTCTCTCTCTCTCTCTCTCTCTTGGGCCCTGTCTGTTTGTTTGTTTTTCGCGCACATAGCGCACCTCCCTCAGTGCGCACACCGCGCACAGCGTACTGCACTGCGCACTGCGCACAGTGCGCGCGCTGTCATTCGAGCGCACAGCGCAGTGCGCACCGCCCCACACCACACTGCGCACTTGTGCGCCGCAACTATTTCACGTTGCAGAAACCAATTCCCGGTTCCAGGGACCCAGATTGTCCCAGTCTCAATTGGGCCGCGTCCAAGATGGTCCCCATCCCACCTGTCGCAGTAGGTGAGTCCCAGGTAGGGTCGTTAGAGTCCTTAGGTCTGTAGGAGGCGGAAACGTCGCAAGTCGATGTCAGATAGGTACTGTACAGACAGACCGGTAAAAGTCCAACCAGTACCCGACAAGAAAAGTCCAGGACCACAGTCCAATTTTGCAGCATCGTCCCAGGAAAAGTCCGTGTACCGGGCCACCAAAATTCATGCAGCAGACAGGCCGAGGGTGACCGGTACCGGTCAGAAGCCAACCAAGGCCAAGTCAAGCAACTATTAATAGCTAGTACAGTGCAGCCCACACCATTCCATGCATTGCAGAAACACTGCTGGTCGCTTGGGCGACCTCACAGCTTGGGCTGTGCGCCAGAGGGCCTGCTTGGTGCCACACCAGTTAGGGTGAGAAGGCAGCCATAGCTGCCATAGCTGCAACTGTGGTTGAAGTAGAACGGATGTATCCAGGGTTACGATCCAAATAATAGCACAGAGAGAGAGAGAGAGAGAGAGAGAGAGAGAGAGAGAGAGAGAGAGAGAGAGAGAGAGAGAGAGAGAGAGAGAGAGAGAGAGAGAGA